ATTCCAAATACGAACCGTAGCATCCCATGAACTTGAAGCCAACAATAAACCTGTAGGATTAAAGGCCAAACCACTTATAGGACCTTCGTGGCCAGCCATAATATCTAATAATTTACCAGTTTGCACAGACCATACAAAAACTTCGAAAGTATCCATTGAACCAGCACAAACAATTTCACCGCTTGGATCAACAGCTAACGCGGTAAATTGAACTGGTGATGGAGATGTAAAAGTTCTAAAATTTCTATAACGAATTAAATCAAATGCGCGAACAGTTCCATCCAAAGAAGCCGAAAATAAAACATGACCATTTTTTGCAAATTCTACCACACTAACACCGGAAGTATGTTCGGAAAATGTAACGAAACAAAATCCTGACATGGTATTCCACACTTTGACTTTACCATCATCACCTCCGGTTGCAATATTTTGACCATCTGAAGAATATGATAACGTATTCATATCATAATAATGCCCTTGTTGTTTAAGAACGTAAGATTCGGATTGCCATTCCCAAACCAAAAGTTGACCCAGCTTTGAAGACCCAAATGCCAGCCATTCACCAGTTGAATTGATTGCTACTGAATCTATTGCTTTTTGCGAAATACTTAAAGTTCCAATAATAAAATATTAATAGATTTAAATTGGTACATGCTAATGACAATAAATAAGAATGGATTACTGAATATCGAGTATTTTACCTTAATGTATGTATATTATTAAAGTCGGGCATTTCCCAAATTCCAAAAATTCCAGATGAAAACCCGACTACTAATAAGTTTGATGCTATATGATAAGCAGAGCAAATCACTTTAGCCCCAGATTGATTGAAATAATGACGAGACGATATAATCCATTTTTTCGATTTCGTTAATTCTGATTCTGCATTATCAATATCCATTTCTTCATATTGATCATTGTCTTCTGTTGGCGTTTGAGAAGAAGCGAATTTCCAAATAAAAAGCGCACCATCTTTACTAACGGTGTATATCTACGTATAGAATTTAATATGCAAAAAAAATTGTCAATATATAAATTACATAAATTATATAAATTACATAAATTATATAAATTACATAAATTATATAAATTACATAAATTACATAAATTATATAAATTACATAAATTATATAAATTATATAAATTACATAAATTATATAAATTACATAAATTATATAAATTAAATTAATATTTATTTTACCTACCATATTTTGATCTTTCGAAAAATATGCACCGACAACATAGGTCTTATGACCTGAAAACGTTACAGTCGTGAAATCTTCAGTAGGAAATAAAGAATGAAGTTTTGCGGTCATGTCTTTTGAAGTAGAAAGAAAAAATCTTATAAAAATTTGATAACCATTGATTAGTATATTGATAAATTCATACAAATTCCAAGTTATAAGATCAAGAATATTACCGAGAATCGGTAGACCATGTTATTGACGTGACCTCATCATAATGTCCTGTGTATTTATGATGCATGACAAATGGTGCAAATTCCCGACTTAATCCTGGTGATTTCCATACTTGAATGTTTTTTCCTACGGCGACACCAAAAAATCTTTGAATATAATATATCACATTTTCATTAAATGTGGTTAATGATCGCGAATTTCATTATAAATTTCTATATTCTATAATCAAGCCAAATTATACTTGCTTTCCATCTGGGCTAAATTGTACATCCGTAACAGGTGATTTGAAACTGAATTCATGTAAAACTATTCTACGATGAAAGTTAACTAGGAGAATTCTTCCTTCTGGAAAAAAAGCAATTGATGAATTTTAATTATCATTTACATTAAATTCAAAATAAAACACACCTTCATCAATAGAAAGCAGAATATTGGTATTTGGCGAGAGCGCAATTCGCGAAATATTTTTTCGATTTTCGAACGGAAAGGTAATTGACTTGTTACTGCGATTAATGTTAAAAATAAGCAATAATGTTAATACAAATAATGAGTTAAAAAAAAAACTGCTTTGGTATAAAGCCTGCAAAAAACTACATACGCCTAAGCTTATAGAATTTAAAGCATGCTTACTTTACAAGATCAAATAATGATAAACGATTTCCAACAGGGCTCAGTAATGAATTTCCATCGGGGGTAAAACACAAATTTCCTCGAGTGTATACAGTTCCACACAAATTTGAGAACTGTAATTATATGGATTTAAATGAATCATATATAATAAAAGTTTTTAAATAAATGGAAAACACACCTTAAAATTGGTTTTCATCTTATTCGGAAGAAACTATAACGATAAAGAATAACGATAAAAAATTTTATCAACCAATCAGTTACGGGGATCTCTTAATTATTAATTGTAGTACAAATCAAGTATAGAACCAACATCACGTGATTGTAAAAAATAAAAACTAGTTATCATATGGGCGGATCGGACTCATTTGGTGTGATATAAGAATGTCATAGGCAGAAATTCGTTTGATTGGCTGATGTACATCAATTATCCGGGGTACTTATTTATATGCTTTAGAGTACTTTTCAAGAAATCAAGTGTTACATACTACAAAAACGAAAATTTTTGCATATATCGCTTCTTTAGAGTGTTAAAAGACTATTTTCAAAAATAATCTCTAATAATCTCTAATTTAAGTAGTGTTAGCTTAGTAGCGATTTTTTAAAATAGGCATAGAAAAGAAACTCGAAGGACCCTGTGCTATCAAGATTTGCAAGAGAAAATCTGACGTCTGGCAAACCGTTACTGAACTTGTTTTGTCTCGAGGGGCAAATAACAAGGCGCTTCCCAACTATATTAAAGAAAACGACATTATATGCTTTACTTGTTATAATGCGATCATTGTTAATGCGTCTCCTGAATTTCAGCAGCATGCATTGGTTTCGTGTTCTTTTACTGAGTCTATTGAATCAGAAACT